TCCCACTTATAAGTGATAACACAGATTATTTTCAAAGATGCTTTGATGATATTTTTTGTGTAAGAAAGTTTGTGTGTGTGTGTGTGTGTGTGTGCGTGTGCATGTGTGTGTCTGTGTGTCTGTCTGTCTACATAATGCATATTGTTTGAATTTGCCTGAAAAAAACCCAAGAAGCATGAAAGAAAGAAACAATAAAAGTGGTTCACTATAGGGGATGGGGATTGGAGTAGGAAAAAAATTGTCTAGTATTATGTGCTATTTGAAAGTTACTATATTACACATTTTAAAAATGAATGATGGCCGGTGCAGTGGCTCACGCCTGTCATCTCAACACTTTGGGAGGCCAAGATGGGTGAATCATTTAAGGTCAGGTGTTCAGGACTAGCTTGTCCAACATGGTCAAACCCTGTCTCTACTGAAAATACAAAAATTAGCTGGGCGTGGTGGTGTACACTTGTAATCCCAGCTACTCAGGAGGCTGAGGCAGGAGAATCACTTGAGCCCGGGAGGTGGGGGTTGCAGTGAGCCGAGATTGTGCCACTGTACTCCAGACTGGGTGATAGAACAAGACACTGTATTCAATAAATAAATAAATAAGTAAATAAACAATTTAAATTTTTAAAAAATGAATGACATTTTAAACTGTTTTGTAGTCACTTGGATGAGTAAGCAGAGATCCAAGGAGCCTTCAGGTTCAATAAGAACAAACCTTGTCATAACAGCATCCTGTTTTCCTTTGGGAAGGTATCTGGATAGAGAGCTCAGTGGGGTGTAGTAGATCCAGTATATGTGGACTTTGTCCAGCTGTTTGGATAAGGACACTCACCAGACATCTGTCAGCAAAATAGAGCGTCTAGGCTGGATGCTAATACAGTTAGATGTAATTGCTACTGATTATAAAGGTTTCTGATAAGTGGTTTGATATTAATCTGGAGGAAACTTTCAAAAAAGAAAGCATTGTGGCTTACCGTTAACTTTATGTTATTTTACATTTAACAAATAACTTGGTTAAAGAAATAGAAAATACATTGATCAATTAGGTACCTTTGTAAAGCTGGAAGATGTAATAACTACATTGAGTCATAGAATCAGGCTCTAAAATGGTTCTTACAGATTGGAGCAGTGGACTGATTCTAATGAAATGAAATAATAAGGTAAAATCATACACTTGAAATTTTATTCTAATCAATTTTACAAGCATAGTTTTCCCTGAAAATCACATTTTGACTAATACTCATCATAATTCCAGTACTCTAAATAATAGTTGTAGGTAATGGCAGCATAGCATCTTTCCCTCATCTTGCCTTTTTCTGAGTAAGCAGGTTGTAGCTGAGGTATTCCCTATGTGGTTCCATTCTATACCTCTACATCCATTTCTGTATTGTAAGCCTGGGGCTGGTCTTAAACCAAAATCAGAGGACAGCTTGGCACTCTCTGGCCTGTTGCTGCTGAGAACAGGGCAGGAGTTACTGCCAGTGTACCTTAAATGTGAGTCAGTCTCAACTTGTAAGATTTTTCTCTTGGCCTTTTCTATATTTCACAGCCACTCAAACAGATCTTCTCCATCAGAGTTATAAACTAGTGAGGTTTTACTCTAAAATCTGAGATATTGCTGCATCATCAGGTCATTAAAGCCAAGTGCCATTGTCTCTCTCCAAAGAGGGGGTCTTTTCTGCTTAGACATAGCTCAGGATCTCTGCAGAAGACAAAGGAACAGCAGTTTAGACTTAACTGTTTAGCAAACATCTTGACAAACTGCAGGGTGTCATCTGCAGATGTTAATTATCCAGATTTGATCCTTTAGTGCCTCTTTACCTCCTATTGGCTTGTGTTACTCTGTCTGTATGACTTTAACAAAATACCTGAGACTTGGATAATTTATAAAGAACGGAAATTTATATTCTTATTGTTCTAGAGGGTAAGAAGCCCAAGATCATCAGGGTGCTGACAGGTTCAGTGTCTGGTAAAGGCCTGGTCTCTGCTTTCAAGATGGTACCATGAGTGCTGCTTTCTCTGGAGGGAATGTTTTGTCTTTACATGGTAGAAGGCAGAAGGACTACAGAGCCTAGTTAGTTCCCTCCAGCCCTTTTATAAAATTGCTTACCCCATTCATGAGGGTTCTACCCTCATGATTTAATCACCTCCTAAAGGCCTCACCACTTAATACTATTGCATATGAGATTTAAGGTTGGTTGGTTTGTTTGTTTTTTGAGATGCAGCTTCACTTTGTCACCCAGGCTGGAGTGCAGTGGTATGGTTTTGACTCAGTGCAACCGCCGCCTCCCAGGTTCAAGCGTTTTCTGTTGCCTCAGCCTCCCCTATAGCTGGGGCTACAGGCATGTGCCACCACACCTGGCTAATTTTTGTATTTTTAGTAGAGATGCGGTTTCACTATGTTGGCCAGGCTGGTCTGGAACTCCTGACCTCGATCTGCCTGCCTTGGCCTCCCAAAATGCTGGGATTACAGGTGTGAGCCACTGCACCTGACCTGGGATTTAAGTTTTTTTTTTGAGATGGAGTTTTGCTCTTGTTACCCAGACTGGAGTGCAATGGCGTGATCTCGGCTCACCGCATCCTCTGCCTCCTGGGTTCAGGCAATTCTCCTGCCTCAGCCTCCTGAGTAGCTGGGATTACAGGCACGCGCCACCATGCCCAGCTAATTTTTTGTATTTTTAATAGAGACGGGGTTTCACCGTGTTGACCAGGATGGTCTCGATCTCTTGACCTCGTGATCCACCCGCCTCAGCCTCCCAAAGTGCTGGGATTACAGGCTTGAGCCACCACGCCCGGCGTGGGATTTAAGTTTTAACATGAGTTTTGGAGGGGATACACACTTTCAAACCGTAGCATGGTTCTACCAAGATTTTTTTCTTTCTTCCAGTTGCTTTATTATTCTTAGGATGAAACCAATTCAGAGGCTACATTGCCAATTCTTTTTCAAATAGTTAAATATAGAGATGTGAGTCTTTCATTCATCTTTGTGAATATTTGGAGAATATGATTTGCTTTATTTTGGTTTCAAAGAACTTCTCTCCAGTTCTTCCTACCTTCAGGAATGTGTAAATGGAAATGAGTTCTAGATGGGTTGATGACGACATGGAAAAGCAGAGGGAAGGGTAGGCCACTAAAATGTGAGCCCCGCAATCACTCTGTTTGGGAAAAACTTGAATTCTAGAGACTGCGTGTCAGCGTCATCCTCTCCCTTCTCTTATCCAGAGCAGATGCTGTAAGTCTTTTGTCTCATCAAGCTTCTTTGTCATTCCTATATATTTAGGAAACGACCTTGTTCTCTACGGAAAATAAAACAACAGATCTGAACTCACTTGAATTCTCTTTTTCTTCCGCCTTAAACCAACTTGCATAGCCATCCTTGTCTCCTTCCTGCTTGCCAGGAAAAAAAAAAAAAAGTTATTCTAAGACCAGTCCCTTGAACAGTACTCTTAATCTCACCCTTCTATTTACAGGACCTTTTTCTGTCAATTATCATCATCCTCTCCTGTATCTTAAAGCTCTCTTCTCTTGGCTCCGTCCTCTGGTGCTCAGTTTTCTCCCATCCTAAACACCTTTTCTCTGAGTGCTGCTGCTGTAGGCACAAATGTTCTGCAAGAGTAATCTGTAGACCCTGGCTCTACTTGCCCAGCTCCATTTCTTTGCAAGTCCAGTTTCATTCTCACCACCATCCCATCCATTCCCTGAAGCTACTCTCAAATAAGTCTCCAATGACTTGCATTTGCTAATTCCAAAGCCTTTCTTTTCTGTCTGCCCTTGTGTTGCATCTACCATTTCTGAGGCAATAGGTATTCACAATCCATCACTCAGAGGAAGGCTCTAATGAGTTTTAACTTTGATGCCCAGGGTACAGGTGTGTTCACTTCATACCGTGGTGATTTCTCTTGTTTTGTTATAAAATTTGTTTTCAACTTTAAACAGCTGAATCTCTAATTAGAGTGGCAGTAGTTTCTGTTCTTACAGTCCAAATTGCCAAGTTTGTATGGTGGTTCTCATGAGGCCACGTTTTCTACTCCTTCCCCCGACCTTTTTGAAACAAAGCAAAACAATTTATGAAAACTAGTTAAAAAATAAAACTTTACCTTGCATTTGTGCAAAAATCATATCACCCAGTTTGCCTTCTTTTTCTTTCCTCAACTTAGTTCTTACTTTGGTTTTGAACATCATCATTACAAAGACCTGCCTCTCTGGAGATGTTGAAAGGACAATACCAAAATGTAAGGCCACTTCCAGTGCCCAGATGGGTCCTGACACATAGGAGGTGCTCAACAGATATTGGTTGGATGATTGAATTCATCCAGGCAGCCCTAAGAGATCACATGCAGTTTCAACTGAAGAGCTGGAAACTTGCCCATCTTATATCCCAGTTGGTTGGCTTGAAAGCCTTAATTATGAGCAAAATGCTTAGGTCTGGATGCTATTGTAGTCCCTTCAGGAATTTTGTAAATAGCCTTTGTGTGTGTGTGTGTGTGTGTGTGTGTGTGTGTGTGTGTGTGTGTGTGTCTATGTGTGTCTATTTCCCAAAGGGAAAAAACAGTACAAACTATTTAAAAGTCAAGTTGAATTCATTTTGCCCCTACAACCAGGAAAAACATCAATTTTATTTTTCTTAATTAGAAGTTCACACATTTAAGTAGTTCATATGTTCTCTCTGTTCTTTACCCCCTGCAGTATTTCTGGAGAGGGGAGTCTTCGCGTCTAGTTTATGTGGAGCATTGATGCAGTAAGCAAGTAGACACTTTGTGCATTTGACTCTAGATTTAGGTTCTGGAGTGTGCTATGGTTTAGTAGGGTTATGGAATTGCTATTGAAGATCTCACTGTGAATCTCAGGGACCACTGGAAACCTGTTCTTGACCCTGCTCCTTAGTCTTCTCTCTCAACACTGTATCATCTCTATATTTAAATTATCTGTGCTAATGGAACTGACTGGCTAATTCTGTCCCATTAGCATCTGAAACTAACAATGTATTTCTCATCTCTTGTTCACAGAGGGACCTGTCAGGGCACAAGAATATTGTGGGTTACATTGATTCTAGTATCAACAATGTGAGTAGCGGTGATGTATGGGAAGTGCTCATTCTGATGGACTTCTGTAGAGGTATGTATATGAACCATACCCTTAAGCTGTCACTTCTCTAGCATTTTGATTGTCAGGGTTGGGGGAGTCATTTCACTTAATGTGCACTGTGCTGTATGGTATGTTCTGGTTTTACAGATGAGAAAACTAAGGTTAAAAAGATACAGTCTGCTGTCACCTCTTGGTTATTCTTATAATGGCACAAACAATTGAAAGTGTAGATAATGTAAAACTCCATTTTCATTGGGTTTAGGAAGGTTTGGTATTTGTATATAAATGAGAATGTGTAAGAATGAGAATGAATATGTTCTTTGTGATGCTTTATGACACATGATGAAGGCACATAATAAAGACCCAGCTCCGGATGGACGAAAGAAACAGTGCAGCTTCCCCAGCTCCCTCACTTGTGTGTTCTCTTTCCCACTCATGCCATCATTCTTGTGTTATGGGGTAAAAGGATCCTTTTCGTCTAATGGAAGTGACCCTCATGTCCTTGTTCTAAAGCTATAATTTCTAGTAAGGTGAGACTGTATTCAAATGATGCAGCTGTTAACAGTAGAGTAAAGTCATTGAAAGCTTGAAATTTCAAAAAACATTTATCTTGGGAGAGTCAGCCTGTAGCATGATTTTTTTCAGAGTTAATTGCATTTTATATAACCATTGCTTAGAGGTTTGGCTTAGGTCTATGCCTTACTAGTTGGTGCTGTGTTTTGTACTCACCCTCAGTTCTGTTAACATTTTCCCTATGCTTAAGATACTATCCATAAATTAAATACGTTGCTAATCACAAAAATGTGATGTTAACCGGTAATTTCAGCCCTTACTGTATTAGCTGTTTACCTGATTTCTTAAAGTATTACCAAATTTGACCTTAACTGTTTGTTTCCTCCTGCTCATTCCTTTTTTGGATACTAAAATGTTTAGAGATCAGGCAGTAGGAGCATCCAGGTATCTGGATAATTTTGTTAAGTGAAGTCATCAATCTTTTGGTCCTGGAGATTAATTGCTGGTGTACCATAAGGCCAAGCAGTAAGTAGTGAAGCCAGAGAGACTAAGCTGTTTCTGAAGTTCAGACTATCAAACCATCTTCTTCTTGTTCCTGGACCTATTGTGCCACCTGATTCTTACTAAAAGATATGGCAAGTTGAGGCTGTGACCATGTCTCATACACAACGGTCACAGTATAACCAGGCAACTACAACAGGACCATATTGTCAGTTCTACTCATCTTGAAGACATAATGAGGGCAGCTCACATCTGGGGTACTTTATAAAATAAAGAAACTGTTTTTGATGCATTGGAGGAGACACTGAATCATAAGAAAACAAATCCCAAGCTGGGAGTCAAGACAGCTAGGTTTTAATCCTGGATCAGTCAGTGGTCAGCTCTGTTACCTTAGTCCAGACCGCTTCTCTCTGGACAGCCGTTCATTTTCTTAGATTAACTGACAGGTCTGAATGTTTATACCTCTCCTTTGTGCTGTACGTACACCTCAGGTGGCCAGGTGGTAAACCTGATGAACCAGCGCCTGCAAACAGGCTTTACGGAGAATGAAGTGCTCCAGATATTTTGTGATACCTGTGAAGCTGTTGCCCGCCTGCATCAGTGCAAAACCCCTATTATCCACCGGGACCTGAAGGTACAGACCACACTATTTCATTGAGTGCATTCTTACCGAGTATTTTCTGTCTGCCCCAGGAATGGAGGAGATACTGTGAGGATAGGTGAGAAATTTAAGGTATGGTCCCTGTTTCTATGCTTCTCTTCTGCCCGAGGAGAGAAAATATAAAGGAAAAAGTACAGTACAGGTATAAGTTTTATTACTTAAGTAGCCTCCAGAAATTCTTCATAATTATCAAATGCCTGAGCCTGTGTTGTTTTTGTTTTTCCTGATATACTCCCCCAACTTTTCCAGGATTGTGAAAAATAATACTTTTAATTTAAATACTTAGTAAACAATAATGCTTGGTTTTTAAAGTCTTATTTCATATTTTGCAAAATCCACTAATTGATTTTTTTTAATTGTCCTAAGTGCCATCACCATGCACCATTCCTTTCACATTGTAGTCACTTGACAGTGTTTGTTGAATGGAATTGGCACCTTGTTAGGGTTCAACTTAGCATGTATTGAGCACCAATTGTGTGCCACGTACTCTGCTACATCTTATGTACACTGTCTCCTCAGAGGGAGACATTCTCTGTCACATTTTATAGTTGAGGAAACTAAGGAGCAGAGAGGTTATGTGACTTGCCTAAGGTCATATAACTAGGAAGGACAGGACCAGAATTTGAATCCAGCCCTTTAGATTCTAAATTACAATTTCTTTTCATTCTACCTGTGTTTCAGGAAGCATGCTTCATAGCTAATGACTGGAATCGCCATGCCGTCACTATGCACTGGAATCACCATGCCATCACCATGCACTGTGCATTTCATATTGTAGTCTTATTTCATATTTTGCAAAATCCACTAATTGATTTTTGTAACTGTCCTAATTGCCATCACCATCCACCATGCCTTTCATATTGTAGTCCCTTGACAGTGTTGAATGCAATTGGCACCATATTAGGGTCAGCCTCCCCTAGCATGCTTGTTAAATTCAGGCTGCTAAGTTTCACACTGAATCTCTTGGGCTAAAATTTTGATAGTGATGTCAGGGAACACCGAGAAGCCATAGCTTAATACAAACACCAGGTGTTTTGTGTACTCTAAAAGTTTAGACTAAAGCAGCATACTTGCATTTCTTTTATTTCTTAACTCTTTAAAAAAATTGAGACATAATTCACCTACTATAAAATTTAATCCTTTGAAGTATATAATTCAGGCCAGGAGTAGTGGCTCACACCTATAATCCCAGTACTTTGGGCGGCCAAGGCAGGCAGATCACCTGAGGTCAGGAGTTTGAGTCCAGCCTGGCCAACATGGCGAAACCCCATCTCTACTAAAAATACAAAAATTAGCCAGGCGTGGTGGCACAGGCCTATAGTCCCAGCTACTCAGGAGGCTGAAGCACGAGAATCACTTGAACCTGGGAGGAAAATATTGCAGTGAGTGGAGATAATGCCAGTGCACTCCAGCCTGAGCAACAGAGCAAGACTCTGCCCAAAAAAAAAAAAAAAAAAAAACCTATGTAATTCAATTTTTAGTATACTCATTAAGTTGTGTAACCATCACTACCACCTAATTCCAGAACATTTCATTATCCCCAATAGAAACCCTGCATCCATTAGCAGTCATTCCCTATTCCCCGTCTCTTTGCCTTCTCCCCTGGCAACACCCAGTCTACTTTCTGTCTTTATATTTTCATGTTCTGGACATTTTATGTAAATGGAATCATAATATATGACCCCTTCTGTCTGACTTTTTCCCTTAGCATAATGTTTTCAGGGTTCATCAGTGTTGTAGTATGTATCAGTGTCGTGGACCGTCCGGACGGGTAGGCACGTCTGCCCGGGGGTCTCTCGACCTGCAAGAGGGTCCCAATACCTGGAAGAGGGAGTGCGCCTGAGAAAATAATAAAGACAGAGAGAGAGAAAGCGAGGCGTCTGGAGGGCTGATAGGCTGTGCCTAAACAGCAAATTTTATTTTTCAAAGGCCAGGAATAAATACACTTTCATGGCTCTGGTTTACGTCATAGTAAGAGGAATGTAAATGTATGCCTCACATGGCCTATACAATAGAGAAGTCAAATACACAATGGTTGCAAGACAAAATGTAAATGTATACCTTACATGGCCTATACAATTGAAAAGTCAGATACACAATCAGTGGTTGTAAAAAGTAACAGAATTTCCTGTAATCACAAAGCTTGTTTGCATCCAGACATTATTCCTCCTGGCTGCAGGTGTCTCTGGTTTTGCTTATCAGAATGTCTTTTATCCGGATTGTCCTTTGTCTACTCCTAACTCAACTCAATTTCCCCATTCAGGAATCTCTGAGTCAGGAATCAAAGCCATCCCTTATGGTGGCATTTTGCTTTGCAAATATTGACAGTTAAACCATTATCTAAGGTGCAAGGCAGTCTGGTAAGTAAGGTTTAAGGATTATACTTAAAGTCATAAAAAGGTTAAAAGCAGGAACCGGTTGCCGGCAGGGGGTCACTCGGTCTAGCAGCAATGCATAGTTTTAGGCCCAAAGGATATTGTGGTTGATATTAGAAACTGATCATTCATCTTTCAGTTCCTATATTCCGGATAGCTCGACTGCCTCCAGTAGGAAACTGTGTTTGGGATCAAACTCACCGTATAGTGAGACTCACGCCTTTTAGGGGTCTCACACGGGAGTGTTCCCCACATATCAGTACTTCACTTTCATGGTTTTGTAATATTCTGTTGTATGGATGTATCACATTTTGATTATCCATTCATTCACTGATGAACATTTGAGTTGTTTTCACTTTTTGGCTATTATGAATAGTAACGCTGCTATGAACGCTCATATACCAGTTTTTGTGTGGACATATGTTTTGAATTTTTCTAGATATATACCTAGGGCTAGATTGCTGGGTCATATAGTAACTCTGTGTTTAATTTTTTAAGGAACCTTCAAACTGTTTTCCAAAGTAGCTACGCTGTTTCACATCCATCAGCAATCCATGAAGGTTCCAGTGTCTCCACATCTTTACCAACACGTGTTATTGTCCTTTTTTATTTTCACCATCCTAGTGGACATGAAGTGGCATATCCTGGCATTTCTGTACTAAGGCAGTTAGCTTACAGGAGAATAAGTATATACCTCCCAAAGCCTTAGATAGCTTTCTTGAGTGTACCTCTGCCCACAGTCAGCCCTTTTTTTCTGAGTAGAAATAGAGGAATGTTGCTGGGTGCGGTGGCTCACACCTGTAATCCCAACACTTTGGGAGGCTGAGGCAGGTGGATCGCCTGAGGTCAGGAGTTCGAGACCAGCCTGGCTAACATGGCAAAACCCCATCCCTACTAAATACAAAAAATAGCTGGACGTGATGACTGGTGCCTGTAATCCCAGCTACTTGGGAGGCTGAGGCAAGAGAATTGCTTGAACCCAGGAAGTGGGGGTTGCAGTGAGCCAAGATTGGCCACTGCACTCTAGTCTGGGTGACAGAGCGAGACTCTGTCTCAAAAAAAAAAAAGGTGGGGTGGGGGCAGGGAATGCATGTTGTTGAATATTTATTACAAGCTTAGCATAGTACAAGTACATAGTTCTGTGGGCATGGGACAGAGATAACATTGTTCCTACCCTCAAGATGTTCAAAGTATTGTTAGTAAGAAGGTATCAATGAAATATTTAGACTTGAAACAGAAATAGATGAAATATAAAACTCTATAGAAGAAAATGATGAATAGAAGATAATCAAGGGATTTGATGTATGACCAGATAGTGGGATCGGGCAATGGTGATTGAAATTCTCTAGAAAAGTGGGATTTTGAAGGCCTGATAGGAAATGAGTGGTCACAGAGGGGATGAAGAACATTCTGGGCAGAGAGCAGAGCCAGAGGGCCCCCTGCAGAAGGGAACAGCAAGGTGTGTGGGGATGAGAAGGTGGGTCAGGGCCCCAGTATGTGGCCAGTTGCAGACCAGGCTACAGTGACCGCAGGCATTACTCTGAATATGTATTGACACTATTCCTAGTTGCCTTTATCAATGAGTAAAATTTTTGTTTAAATGCTGTTAGCATGTATTTCAGAACAGGCAGTGGTACCAAATCTTAAAGACCTGACCTCTGCCCTTGCTGCCTGCCTTGGAGAAGAGTGTGAGAGGCATAGAAATAGGAGAGAAATGTCGCTGGTGGGCACTGCTCTTATGATCTATGTGACCTTGCACCTCTGTGTAGCCCGTTCTGCAACCCTTCCGTGTCAAATGGGGTTAGAGTTCTTCTGTGAACTCTGATTCTGCGCCACTGTGTGACTGATGATGACAGAATTACAAGTGCTGTGAGAGGTGAGCATAGGCAGCTTCCTCCGTCTTGCCAAATGCAGAGGACATTTTCCAGTCCCTGTCTTATTCTCCCTGTAGCCTCTGGCTCCTTTGTGACTGTCTCTCCCTTGGCCTCTGTAACAGCGTCTTCTCCCCGACTCCTTTTTCCCAGGTTCCTTGGCTTTCTTTTTAAATTGCTAGCCTCTCCAAGCCTAGTTTTGTCATCTATGAAGTGGTGCTAATGGTGCCTGCTCTGTTAGGGTGGTGGTAAGGTTGAATGAGGGAGTGTGTGTCAGTCTCTAGGCCAGGCATCCCCAAACTTTTTACACAGGGGGCCAGTTCACTGTCCCTCAGACTGTTGGAGGGCTGCCACATACTGTGCTCCTCTCACTGACCACCAATGAAAGAGGTGCCCCTTCCTGAAGTGCGGCGGGGGGCCGGATAAATGGCCTCAGGGAGCCGCATGCGGCCCACGGGCCGTAGTTTGGGGACGCCTGCTCTAGGCACATCCTGGCACAGTAAATGCCTGAAAGAGTTCAGAGGTGAGGACAAGGGGAACAGGCAGAGGGGCACAGAGGATCATTTTAGAAAGTAGTATTCCCATGTTCTCAGAGTCTTCCTTTATATTACCCTTTTTTTTTTTTTTTTTTTTGAGACGAAGTCTTGCTGTCTTACCTAGGCTGGAGTGTAGTGGTGCAGTCTCGGTTCACTACAGCCTCCACCTCTCGGGTTCAAACGATTCTCAT